GAGGAGGGTTTTCACTACAAGCAACTGCAGAACAAGAGGAGAGATTCAAGTGAATGGGTGTTATTTTAGCAAGGGCGTCTGAAGCACCAAACCACCTTTTGTTATGGTATCCTTTATCATTTCCTCTCTGGTGCACTGCTTATGGGCTCCTGGGTGTGATTTGGGTGATGGAAAGGTCAGTGGCAGATGAAATTAGGAGTGGCGAGACTGTTACAACTTGTTCCCTTGGCTACCTTTCAAGTTATTTGGAAGGTGAGGAATAGGAAGGCTTTTTGAAGGTTATAAAATCTTCTGAGCAGCCTTAGAGGCATATGGTTCTAAACCTTTTTATTTACAAATAAGGATCATTCTCTTAATTTTACCAAAGATTTAGAGCACCTTATTGACATTTTGATTGAATTGAAAAATTGCATGTATTTGGGTTGCACCTCTTTGATGCCATGTTAATATTTTCTGAAAATAAAAATTAGTATATAATATATGGCACCAGAGTGCAACCCATATACAATGCCTAACAAATCTGTCATCCTAAATCCTCAAAATAGGGGGTGTCATGTTAGTATATCTCCTCTCTTTTTCTACTCATGACAATAATAATAAAACTCCCATTTCATAAGGAAAACATACCAAAAATAGTTGAGTAGAAGAAATTAAAGATAATGTACTCTCTTCTTTTCTTTTCAAAACTACCAGTTAGAAAGTTAGAAAGTTCAACCACATAGGGCCATTATCAACATTCTAAGTAGTCTCAAGAAATCCAGGGCGTCTTTGAAAATGTTAAAAAGTATTCTAAATAAAGTATTTATATCTACCAAATAATGACATATCTTCCCTTTTTTTGAAATAAAAGTGAATGACATATCTTCCTAATAGAAATTGCTTACGGACCAAGATAAGAATAGAACACAGAAAGTTTAACCAACTTACTTTCCATTAAGACCAAGTGACAAGCCAGCAAGAACAACGTAACTACCAAATGCCATAAATGGGATGTATAAATCTGGTGCGTTTATATCATAAATTGGGGGTTTATATGAGAGCCTACCCCCAACAGGTTCAGTTATTCTTGTCCAATGGCCCTGTAACAAACAGTTGGAAGAAAAAAGGTGACTAATACTGTAAGGGACAACTAGAAGGACAGAGTCACATAGAGAGATAAACTTACCCTGTGCAGGAATGGAAATAGAACAACTTTCAATTTGTTCCTCACGTATTGATCATTTACTTGAAAATAATATTGGGGATCAGAGAAGTACCTACTTATCTGCTCATATCACAGCCGTAAAAGGGGAAGAAAATAAGTTACTAAGGTTTTGTATCAAAAACCTTAAAGTTATCAAGCATGGATGAAATAGAAATTTGCATGTTTATGCAGTATTTGTCACTTAATCAACAATGACTAAAGAAAGTCCGTTCGGAGTCAGCTTATATAATAAACATTGGGTAGATGCAGGTAGCCGGGTAGATCTATGTTCGGAGAGAAAGAAAGATAATAAAGACAGTAGAAATGATTTTCAACATATCATAGACATGTTACAATGCATTCATTTTGAACTTTTAAGATGTCTGTTAAGAAAAACATATGTCCTTCGTTTATTTCATATTAATTGCTCTGGGCTCTCCTGTTTTGCAGAGGGCAACCCTAGAATGAATTTATTCGAATGATTGACAAAAAAGGTTCTTCTTAAAGGGATGACAACCGTTTTATAACTAGTTTTTCTTTTTTCATATATTTCAGTGCAAACTTAAGCAGAACAGTAACCTAAACTTTCCTGGAAGCATCATTCAAAATGATAGACTACCTAATTAGCTAAATTAAGCTAATTATATAAGTAGCCTTTGCAAGCTCAAACAAGAAAAGCAGTCATAGAGTTTTGACCTAAACATCCCACTCACATTGCTTTGCACGTACTCAGAGCTTGATCCCAAAATTTTTTCTCCATATGCACCAAGTCCACCTCGGATGAATCCAGAACCAGCTCCATAAAATGCATTCCCAAATGGATTAGGCTGAGCACCCCCAGTTTGGGCTCCAACGTTATTGTACATTTCTGCAATCAAACAGAAAAAAAAGAGGAAATACATTTAGACAAATAAAAGCAGAGGAAACGGACTCGGAACCAATAAACAACAGATTCGCTACAAGTACAAGCCCTCAGCGAGAGAGTCCAAACAGCAGTCACCCTCAAATATCAATACCAATATGAAAAATTACTTGGTGCCTATAGCAGAATTCACGAACTTTCAGCCAAAACTCTTAATTTATTCTTCAGATTCTTGTTAAATTACTCGAACAAAAACCGAACAAACAGAAAATAGAAACATGAACAATACTATTCCAAAAGGATGTGGGCTTCCTCTATTCAATTCAAGCAAGGGAATCGATTATAGACAGAGATCTTTAGCAACGCCTAAACAAATTATTCAAGTATAAACAAGTAAATATAAACGGTACATGTATATGGTAGTATACACGAATAGAGATTTGGATCTAGGAATCAAACCTTGGAAAGGAGATGACGTGAGTTTTCCGCGTGTTCACCGGCGAATAGATCGGAGCTCCGACGAGATTCCGGCGAAAAGTCTATTATCTCTTTTGATCGTACGGCGTAAAGAGCAACCCACCGCAGACCAGCGAAAACTGAGAAGGGAAAGTTGACGGTAAGAGAGAGAGAGAGAGGGGAGAAATAATTTGCGGAAGGGACGGGAGAAATAATTTGCGGAAGGAAGAAAAGATCACGTGGTAGACACGTGCAGTCCATTGGTCGTCACTTGACTAATCAGTTTTCGACACGTGGCAACTTGTATTTTGGAAAAAAAAATTAATTAAGAAAAAGGACGCAAAAAATCATGTCCCTGCACCAAGTTGAAGATACCCAACTTCCAGACTCCTGGTAGCTTCAACCTTTTGCTTCAATGGAGGTTTCAGTATCAGAAGAAGAGTTATTGAAAGTGCTGGATTCATCTCTTTCTCACATCAAATGGCGGCTCAAATCAGCGGCTAAGCGTCGGCTTGAGATAGGTTAATCTCTTTTCTATTAGCTCTTGAATCTTCTTTCATCGCTCCATTTTGCGTGGTTAATTATCAGAATATAGATTGAGTTTTTGAATTCTGCTCGGACTTTGGATTGGATTTTTTGGATCCTAGGTCTGATCGGGTTTTTTGTCTTACTTTCTGGGTTTTGATTGTGTTGGTTTTGCTATAGTTTTTTTTTCCTGTGATTCTCCAGCATTAGGCTTGTTTGGCAATGAGGAACAAATTGGAGGCAAGGAGAGAGAATTTTGAACTTAAACGAGTGTTTTACCACTGAAGTTGATAATTCTTTTATCTTTTATTATGTTCCAACCAGGACATGATTCAAGCTTTCTGTATTCACCTTTTTTATAGAAGCTATGTATATTGTTGATCTGCCAAGAATCAATTCAATATTTTGTGTTATATGCCAATTAGGTTTCAATTTTAAGACATTTTTTAATTAAACCCTTAGGTTTTCATAATTTTGATGCATGATAAAATGGGGAGTGTAGTATAGATAAAGGTTATAGCACAACATTGTGCATAGTATCACACTGTAGTCTAGCATACACACAACTAGTATGAATACGTTGATTATGGTTTAACATTGTGCATTTTTAATGTGGAAGAAATGTTGCTTGTGATGGTATTTCTCTGGCAGATGTTCTAGGCTTGTGCACAGGAATGAGGCCAGTTGTTATGATTGACTATGGTGGAAAAATGCCTGAACTGCAAGAAAATCTGCTTTCATTTCTTAAATTTTGCCAAAAGGTTAGGCTTGTATAATTTCACCAACTATTTCAACAAGTTCAATCACTCAATATCGTCTATCCAGTTGGCTCATTTCTTCTTCAAAACACTTGAGTAGCATGTATATTTTGTTTATTAGTTTCTTAATCTATGAACTGAGAATGTATTGGTGTATTAAATTCGGAATAGGATTGTATCTTCTCTTTCTATTCTTTCTTTACATGTCATATGACATATATACATTTTTCCTTGATAGACTTTTGGTAATCCAAGATAGGAACCTGTTTCATGTATGGAGGATGATTTCACCTAGTGGGGAACAATGAAAAAGTAAATTAAACTTATAATTCAATCAAGCATCAAAATATATTTATTTGGAAACACTCCCAACACAAACACCACCAACTTGCTCTTCTCATCAAAAGAATGGTGAAGCTATGTATGGCCAAATGGGATCCACTCATAGTTATAAACCAGTTCTGTCAATTTTTTTAAAGAAAGTGTTTATCCTTTTGAAGAAAAGAATAAATCTATTTCGGGATTATCCTGGTCTTAACACTTCAACCCTTGGAAGAAGTGCTTTAGGCATCAGGCTCATTTGTTTTAGCTGCATTTTGGAATTTGATTTGTTTGTGCAACTGTTAAGTGATATAGATTAGGATTTTGATCAGCTGTACAGAATTGCATGTTTGATCCTACATTGGTGGTCATGGGCATTTCTTTTGTCTTAATAGAATTTTGTAATCAGGAGGCAGTCAAAGTAGTCTCTGCTTGTCTTATTAGGAATTAATTATGTCAAGAATTAACCTAATCTCTTCGAATATTAATTTATTTAGGAATCACCCATTTTTGAGCACTTAAGGGTAATGGTCATCGAGGATATGATATATTTGACACATGTAAGAAGACTTGCTAAGTATGTAACATCAAGCTTGAACTCAGAAGAAGAATTTCACTTTGTCGATTTAGAACAGGATCCTCCAAAGGTTGCTTCTGGCTGTAAGCTTTTTTTTTTCTGCCATTTTCTTCATTCACATATATATACATATATATATATATATGTGGATGTTTTACTGTTTAAACTGAGGACTACTTTTCATTATGGCCCCAGATGATAAAAGGTGCCAAGGAAAGTTCACTAGTCATGCAACTTATGTCAATACAAAAGTTGTTATCTCAGAAATTTCCTGATGATGGGGGAGATAGTGGTTGCAGCTCATGTACAAAGACAGACTGTATGGCGAATATGAAATCCTCTACCAGTGAGCCTATTTCTTCTCAGTCTTCTGAATATATTGATCTAAGTTGCTGTGTGCAGGACACTCAGGTCACATTGCCAACTTTGAATGGGTAACACTCTAGTTGCATTTTAGTGTTCAAATGTATTATTCTTCAGTGTTATATATCTGGTCTATATTTTTCTGCTACATCATTTAGGCCATATTGGTCGTAAACTATGGCTTTTGTTAGTTAAACCATAAAGTTGAAATCGATCTTAAAATGTTTTGTAGTACTGTTTCTGCATTATTAGAGAATTTGTCTCTCAAATTTGACCAAAAGAAGCATGTTTCTAAGTGAAAATTGGCCCAAAATTATGTTTTTTTTAAATAAGGCAAAAATTGTCTTGTTGCTGGAAGCATCAATCAATTTAATTACTTGCTTATAGGATCTCAGTTCTGCGGCCAACTAATGGGGCTTGCATATCAATTGAAATAAGAAAGTTATGTAATTCAATTATTTAGTGACAGTAGTATTCTCTTGCATGTGCCCCATTAGGACGTATTCAAAACTGTTTGTGAGAAAGATATAATTTAACTAGGGTGGATACGATATCCATTGAAACATAGAAAACTGCCTTGCTGAAAGAAATTCATATCTCAATTGATGTAGAAACTTGCTTTATATTTCTTCTGTTTCATTAACCATACAATTCCAGAAATCCAGATGCCTCCACAGCTTTATATTCTAAATTCGGAAGTGGATACTTCAATACCATTTTATCCTAGTCTTCTAAATCAAGGTATTAATTTGTTTCAGATGGCTTCTTGGTTATCCGGTGGTGTACTTATTTGGCAGGGATCATATAGCAGATGCTATTTACAATCTATCCACCAAGTCCCTTCGGATCTTCAGAGTTCTGGTCTCCAGGTTTGCTGCTATACTTTTCTGTTGCTGAATAAATTATTCAGTTTTCAGAATGACTGATACTGCTCACAGGCACTAAGATGATAATTATAGTCATCTTCACCCATGTTGCACTTACATTTAATTGGCACTTGGATAGATTTCACTTTGACAACAAGTATTTGTTATCAAGTTATGATTATATTAAAAAAAAAAAAATGAACTACTGATTAAATATAGCACATTTACAACAACTACTAGGATAATAAGTGAGAAATTGTTATGTAAGATCCATCTTTTCTTAGAAGGAAGAAACTGTTTCCTATGTACTTTCACCCTAACTAAGCTATTATTTTTGTAGAGGAATATATATAGTTTCCAAAAAAAATAGAATGACAATTGTCTACAGAGTGTTTAAGAACATAGGAGGAAGAAAGTGCTAATGGGAATTTAAGTATGGCATTGGTTTCATATGAGCAGAATTTTTCATCGATGTCTATTTTCAAACTCTTGCAGGAACAATATTGATAAGGTTTCTCAATCAGAAGAACTGATGAGGTAAAATTTTGAACTATATTGTTCAGTTTCTCCCCTTCGTAATTATTGTTCTGCAACAGAAGTATCATGATAATATGTATATCTCTAACTGGTACATTTTTTAAGAGAAAAAAAATGAAATACATATATTAACAGGGAGCACACTATATATATTAACAATGCGCCAGAGGGTGCCAGTGCTGCCCAATTACAGAAGACTTTACAGTTTAGTCATAAATTTATAAGGTTCACTAAATTATCGGCAGAACTAAGAGATTCTTAACTGAAAAGGAAAAGAAAAAGCGTGTCAAACCATAAATCTCTAGTTCTACCAAAGGAAGGAGCAATGCCCTTCCAGTGCCTTCTTAGATAATTGAGTATATTATCATCACCATCGTTACTGATACTTTAATGAAAAGATTGCCAGTTCACACGATATTCTATATGATAAAATTGGCCTGGCATTTCAATTACTGTCTAAAGGTGGATTTGCAGTTTCTCAGTGCCATATGACCTGAGCATGGGAGGGAGGAAGGAGCCGTGGGCCGAAATGTTCCTGACACAGATGCAATCAAAACGGGAAGAGTGTAAGCAGACTTGGAAGTCCTTGGAGATGGAGGTACTTGAGTGCTATCCACAAGCAATTGTGTTGTAGTTAAAACATATATAAATTTAAAAACAAAAATTAAATAATATGTTTGTGGAGCCGTAATCTCACTCTATTTTTGTGTTTTTCAAGAAATAGTTAAATGAAATTCTGAGTGGTACAAGAGAGAAAGAAAGAAAAAAGGTTCCCTTTATGGTTTTACCCTAACCATTACCAAAAGTGACTGTGCCTTCCATATTTCTAGGTTTCTACTCCTATGCTTATAACCTTTTGCTTACCAAAAGTTACTATTGCCAAATTAGGGCTCCTATCATATTTGCATACTTAAAAATGCTTGTTTGACTTAGTTTAAATTGTAGCTTGTAAACTACAGTCTTTATAAGCTTTTTAATAAACTGGAATCAAATATTCTCTTAATCATAATAATAATGCTGCAAATAATAGAAAATTATCTATTGGCTTAGCTGAGTCTGAGATGTTTCCACATGTTTCAGACTTTTTGTTAAGATAAACAAACAGTGATGTTGAGTTTTATCTCAACTTACTTTGTCTATGTTAGTAAAGAAAATGAGATATGTAAGTCGAACATAATATATATATATACATATAATAAGTAGAAAAAGTGTATCATTGTCATTTACTAGCTTTTTATAGAATAAGATCATATTTATGAACTTTCCTAATTACAGAAAGAAAGCATGAGTTTGATAGTGTGCAGTAACTAGTTATAAACATTGAAAGATATATTACATATTGCAATTGGTCAGTTCAGTTAAGAACCAGTCGATACTCTTTCCCTTTTTTTCTTTTTCCTTTTTCCTTATCTCTCACTCTTGTCTTCTCCCTAAAAATCCTTTTGCTTCTCAGCAAACTCCCTAAAACCCGGAAAAACTTTCTCCTTTCTCTCTCTAGTGTCTACTTTCTCAATCACTCCCTCTATGCTCACCCAATCTTGGCCCCTGATTTCTCCTCAAGCACCTACTCAAGCCTCTTTTCTCTTCAGCTGCTCCTAATTGCAATACTCCTGATTGCAATAAGTAGATTCCCATGACTACAATCAATTGTAGCAATGTAATTATCACATAATTTTATTTTGTAATTACTGAAGAAAAAAGTGATTCGCTCTTGGAAGAGTAATGAGCATGAGAAAAAGTTATTTAAAAAAAAAAAAAAAAGCATATGATTCGCAGAGCAAAGCTGGCTAATGAGAGCTGCAGCCTGCCAGGCTAGTCATCAAAGGCTAGCGTAGTGGTTGAGTTAGGTCCAGGTGATAATTACAAACAACCATAAATGCATCAAAGTGCTTCATTGGCAACTTCTTACCAACCAAAACTATCCAATTTCATCTCTTTGGATTTTTCCCATTTGATACTGACAATTCACATCTTGAAATCATCACATCATATTATATTGTATTAACTATCCAGTTTCGTATCTTTGGACTTTTTCCCATTTTCTTACCTTTAAAAAACCAAGCTTTAACCAAAAACAAAAACAAAACCCACTCACTTTCATGGTCCAATCATTCAATATATTAAAATTTAAACAAGAACCCCAAAAGTTTTTATTCACTAACTTGCCTCAGCAGGAACCCTCAAAAGTCTTGCAAATCCTGAACCAAGGCCAGAAAGAGGAAAGAGAAGCAAAAGGAGAATTTTGAGAGGTTGCTGTCTCTCTCTTTTCAGTAGATTGTCAAGCAAACCCCTCTTTGGAAAAAAGAAAAGAAGAGAAAGAACAAGCAAACCAAAAACTTAAAAAAGAAAAAGAAAAAAGAAAAAGAAAAAAATAACCAATGAAGGGAAAAGAGAGGTATAATCAATTTCCTAGTGCCCCTTTGAAGAGGCCATGAGCTTCAGCCTCGGTGGGGAGAGCAGGGATTGCTCCCTTCTTGGTAGTTGTGATGGCTCCACATGCATTTGCAAATCTCAATACTTCCCTCAGTCTCGCTTCATCCTGTCAACCAAAACCAATTATTAACCATCCAAATTTTGGAACCTAACACTATGAATATATATATATATATATATATATATATATATATATATATATACATACGCCTCCACGCAGAACTGAAAAATTACCAGTGTAAGTTTATGATCCTTTCTCCTCTCAGTGGTATATCTATGAATTCCCCTTATTGGTTACTTCAGTTTTATCTATGTTAACATACACTCCTCTCACAAAATAATTTCCCAACACGTACAAGAATTAACATTTATTATATGAAGGTCTTTCCTTACATCGATCAAGGAGTGATCATCAACAAGCTTGCACAGAAGTGCACCAACGAAAGAATCACCAGCTCCAGTAGTATCTACAGTCTTGACATGGAAGGCATCAACTGCTCCATGGAAATTCTAGTTTGTTGAAACCAAACAAGAGGAAATTTTAGCTTATATATAGGCATTGGTAAAGACTCGTGCTATAAGACATAAGTTTTGAGCAAATGCAATAAAATTGAAAATACTTGTATAAAAAACTCATGTAGAAAATTTAAATTGTAAATAATTATATAACAAGTCGTGTAAAATTCCATCAATGTTCACACTTCCACCACTCCTTACAAGAATCTAATCAAACTGGAACAAAATATTCACACCTCCTACATGGGTAAAATCATAAAGATGTAAGGCTCCTTAGAAAAGGATTAGACGTAATCTTAACTAGATTCAAGACGGGGAATACACCTCGTTACCATTCTCCTTCAAATTGTAACTCATATATGGATTAATATAAAAGATTATGGGAACCCTCCACTTAGACTAACTAATTAATCTCGTTCAACTTGCCAATATTTTGGTGCCTAGAGTTCATTTTAATCCATCCATGCATCCCTTAGTTGGACCCAAAAACTTGAATCTTCCACTAGTCAATAGTTTTGATTATGACCTTGCAACCCTTGGGTTTAAATAAATTCATAAAGAGGGGGGGGGGGGGGGGGGTCAAGGAGAAAATGGCTGAGATCTACCCACCTACCACCACAAAAAAGTAATTAGCAAATATCCAAGTTTTCACAACTTGAAGAGAAAAACGTTTATTATAAAACTATTTAGGGCCACTAATTCTTTATATTCTAAGAATTTCTGCAGATAGTAAAGAAAAAAAAATAGTGGTAACATAGGAAAATCAGACAAAGAAAAAACACATGAACATGCTCAGACAAATAATTTCTACAGTTCGCAACAGTTTACACAAGAACCCAGACAAAACCCAACAAAAATATTTTTCATTGAATCATTGCTGACAAAAACCCAACAAAATATTTTTCATTGAATCATTGCTGACAAGGTTGATTCCCCACTATATGAACTCCACGCACTGAACAAGCGCGTGAAACATATCTTCACCTACCCATCATCGCTACAAGTCAACATTTGCCAACCAATGGGGACACAGTATATACACCCTTTTTGGTCAAGTCAGAAACGCATACACAAATAAATCACGCTTTCAACAGAGTTTTAATGGAAATTTCAAGCTTACCTTGGTGTATTACCTGGCACCCTTTTCCCCGGAGGGCGACCAGGAGGAGTTCCAAGTTGGGGATG